GCTCGCTCTTCACACCCCTAGCCTGCATTAAAACAATGCGGGTGGGCCTGTGGCCCGGTGGTCTTGACCGACCCTCATGCCCGGGGAGAGAGAGAGAGAGAGAGAGACAGAGAGAGAGAGAGAAAGAGTAGCTTGAACGGGGATTGATTGGTGACCCTGCCGGATTCCGGACCAAGCAATCACAAAGTTTAGATTAGATCAGATCATGCGTGGGCTTTCTTCATCGCCGTGCTGGCTCTGCCTGCTCAGCTTTATGTTGCTGACTAAAGGACCTTTCAAGCTGCATGATGTTTTTCTTCGAGTTCTATTTTCACAGTGTGTACAGCGACTTTCCGAAAAGGATTCAGTGTGAAACTCCGTCAGCTTGCAAACCCACAGGGTGAACGTAGCTTCAACCTGCGGGTTGGTGAACATGAATGCAAGCATTCTGCTGCAGTACTGCAAGTCTGACGACCAGAGGCGATCCTCTCACCAAAACACTCCCACGTCAGAAATGGTGTCAATCGCAACGGAGCATCTGCCAGATGCCAGTTAGGCATCCGGAAAGCCTTTTGTCTTAACTTTTTGTGCCTTCTACCACTGTTATGCTGCTCTGCGCCACTGTGGTACGTACAGTTGGCATGGAAATCCGCGGTACGTCGAAAGCTGTTGCTTCTTCAAGTTCACAAGTAAAAGGAGTCTTTTCACCTCCATCGTGCAGTAAATTTAAAGTCAGTCATCACTACAGATCTGAAGAGGGAGGTTGTGAAAACACGATGTGTCCTCATGTAGAGTTGTGTCTGATCATGTACTGTAGTTCAAGAAGGCATGCGATTGCATTTGGTTCAAGATGCAAAAAAGGGCAACTGAGTTGCCTGCGTTGGGGCCTTTTTAGGATTGTTCCATGACCCTTGCTTTTTTCCTTCCTGCCTTGCTGTTGTCGTCGGAATAACTACAACAGCTGTACTGGTTTGAGTGGGCCGACGGCCGTTCGTTTTACCACGTTATTGGACGAGACGTCAACGGACTTTTTGTTTGCTTAAAGTTTGGCTGTTGGTGGTCGCTGGGTACCGAAGCGGCAGGCTTCAACTGGCTAGTCTGAGTTCGAAGATGTCCGAGATCGACGAATACACTTATGGAGCAAGGAAGTGAGCCGAGCCGTATGTTTCCTTGAGCTTGGCAGCACTCTACAACAGCATGCGCTACTCGTTCCAGATCGGAAAAGGGACAGCAGCAGCTAGGGACCGGCACGTTTTACCATGCTTGTTGCACAGAAGGGCTGCATTCGAGCCTGCTCCAGTCAGAGTTGCGACTCGCGGGGAGCCGTTGGGCCTGGACAAACGAGGTGGGGAACCCACCGGCGACGAGAGATGCTTCACCTTACGCAGGATCAAAGCTATCATTTTATAGATTTTTCCATCGCGGTGTTCGTTTCGCGGTCCAGCTGCAATAGTTCATCGGAAGTGTTCTTGTTAGTTTGCAGCTGTTGCTATCATCAGTGACAGTGAGCGAGAGAAGGCACTTGGATTGGTGTTGTGGCAACCGCGGGTTGTGCCCATCGGCTTCTTTTCACCAACTTTTCATCTGTTTCTTGCTTTGTTTTGTGTGCCCCCTCAACAGCAGCGGTGGCATGAGAGAACTACCTTTGTGCTTGTCGATGTTTCATCTATATTGCAAACTTTGGAGTTTCCAAGAGTTTCTCATCTTGCCAGGAGAGCACTTGGCAGACTCTTTGCGGCTGGTGTCGGCATCTAAGGTCCTGTGCAAAGGCATAGGCCCTTCTTCTTCGTCTTGCTCGACTGTTGAAGGAAGCTTCTACAGCTCGATTTTGCCAGGTGTGCCTAGCACAAAGTCCGCATCTAGAGGTAGACCCCGTCACAGGCTGTCCAGCAGCCTTGTTGGACGCACGGCTCCGTGCAAAGTGTGACATTGAAAGCTCAGGCCGGGAAGAAGGCGTTTTCTCCCTTTTCAGTGGGCTTCTGGCTTCACTTCTCTCTACGGCCTTCGAGGAGGCACAAGAACGGCAGGATAGGCGCATCGCTCTGGCCGCTGTTCTCAGGCCATGGACTTTGTGCTTGGGGCCTGCATCGATCATGGAAGCGCGGATGCGGCGGACAAGCTCGTCTTGAAGGCGGCCAGGGAGCATCGAAGCAGCACAGCCATGCAATACCGCGAAGCGAGAGCTTATTGCAAGGCTTGTGGGAGCAGCGTGGTGTCAGTGTTTACTTCTCCCATCAACTACGTCAGTGTCATCCAGAGGCTCGGTGCTCATGTGACCCGGTTCTCTAAAGTGGCCAGGCCACATCCTGTCGTGACCCGCAGGTTTCACTAAATTCTAGCCATGCCCGCGCCGTCCTCTTCCAACCCTGAAGAAATTGAATACAGGAAACAAGCCCGCTACTTTATCTGTCAGGAAAGAGGAGCTTATCAGCATGTCTGTTGGCCCATGAGAGGTTCGTTGTCTCTGTTCAAGCAAGGGGAGGGTTCTAGACTTTTGGGCAACACTTGCCCTTCATGAAGAGATACACCCACACACCCACACACCCACGCACCCACACACCCACACACCCACACACTTAGAAAAGTGTTTTCTGC